GACTGAGATGACGTATGATAGAGTTATGTGGAGGACAAAAACCTGTTGCGCCGACCCTACGGGAGTAGGATAAGGAGATGATGATGACTATTAATAAGATTATACTTTCTACTATTGCAATAATGCCGAGTGTTAACAAACTTGTTACTAGTTGGAAGCATGAAAAGTTTTAAATAAATAAATAACCGAAAAGAGTGTTGAATTATCAATGACTAAAAGTATTTTTAAAATGTTATATTAACATTCTCTTAAATGTTATATTAACATTCACCAAATTACATGGTAATTATAAAGAATGACAGAAAATTATTAATAATATCTACCGGAACATATACTCTGTGGAGATTTAATTTAATTAAATTGTCTGTAATCTGCGTTAAAGAGTAAATGAGAGTAAATGTGTTCTGTGCTGTAATTGTGTCAACAACATAAACGATATCGATTTCAAAATTATCGTTGAAATTTGCTTGGAGTATGTTTTAATACGACGTAACCGGTTATATGCAATAAATATGGGCATTTTCACGAAACTTCTTATATTTGGATTAATTACAGTGAAACTATCTCCGTATTTTTGTGAATACTTAGGAAATAGTACGTTTAAATGGCCAACAATAGCTATTTCCGTTCTGGTTAGGAATAAGGCCCATACATTGCCTTATTTCTTTTCGTGCTTGATGAATCAGGATTACCCCAAAGATAGAATTTTCATTTGGTAAGTATTTTAAACTTTTTAGTGATACATTGGAAAATATTTTCTTGAATACATTATTCGATGTCATTTGAACCATTAATGGTAGGTAGCAGTTCAATTATCCGACTTGTTGATTTGAATTGTTGTTGTTTTATGCTTTTAAAGGATTCATAGTGACTATAATGAAGATAACACGATTAAGATAATCGAGGATTGGGTTGAGAAGTTTGGTTCATCTTATAATGAGATATATGTCACCACAAATGCTACAAGCGGTCCATTACATCCTGACGAAAAAACATCTTCAAACTGGACTCCAAAACATTTTGAGCATGTAATCCAGCTAAGAGAGACTGCTCTCAGATTTGCTAGAAGAATGTGGGCTGACTTTATATTTGTGAGTAAATAAATAACTTGTAATATATTAATCATATATATCTTGAAATCTGATATATGATAATATATGTGATTCTAGCCTTTTTATGATATAACTTCAGCAATACAAGGTTCTCAGGAGATTATGTATTGTTGTTATTAATAAGCTTTGCTTGGACACTATGTAGCAGTAATTTTACTAAACAATTGTTACAACAAAACCTCAAATACTGAGCATAGAGATTAAGTGTGATTCATATGTAAAAAATTACCAAAAAAGTTTACTATATCAATTTACCTTCTTTCATAAATTTAAAGCCTAATGTGGAAACATTAAGGTATTCTTCTGTTTTTTTACAATATAGAAAAGTTTTGTTTTATTTTCAGATGTTAGATGCAGATGTGTTTCTGACTGAAACAACGGCATTAAAATATTTAGTGAATAAAGACATGTTAGTTGTTGCTCCTATGCTAGTCTCGGATGGACCTTACTCAAACTTTTGGTTAGCTTATTATAAGTATAATATTTCATTCATAGATAACACATTTCACAATCTATGTATTTAAATTAATCTACATATCAAAATGTTTGCTATAAATTGTGTATTTAACATTTTCCAACGTCAATACCATGCACAGCTGTGTATATATTTACATAACCTGTGCAAATATCTAGATTTAAACACATTGAAATAAATTATGATTGAGAAACTTTTCATTGCTAATATTTTTCAATTGAAGTAAACTTAAATTAAATTGTTTAAACTATCGTGAGACATTACTTTAAGCGAAAATTAATTAAAAAAGCGTGAGTTGAGCCGTTTTTTAATTAATTTTCGCTTGAAGTAAACTTGCTAGGTTAGACGGAATGTACATTTCGGTTAAAAATATTCTAACTAAATATTTTTTAGGTGTGGTATGACTGAATATTTTTATTACAAAAGAACAGATGAATACACGCCGATTTTACAACGGGAAAAAACTGGATGTTTCGATGTTGTTATGGTACATTCAGCGGTACTGATATCTCTAAAGTATCGGAGATCTGATATACTAACATATAATCCGGAGAACATAAAAGATTATGAAGGGCCATATGATGACATCATAGTTTTTGCTTTAAATGCAAATAGGAATGGTATATTTATTAAAATTTCTTCTGTATTAAGGAACTTGCTGTTCCTGTGATTTATCTGCATGAAATTAGAGAATACTAGCTTTCGCCCGCGACTCCGTCCGCATGGAAATAAAAAAAACAAAAGTGAGTAGCCTATGTGTTCTTCCAGACTAAGCTCTACGTCTATGTCAAATTTCATTGAGATCCGTTCAGCTGTTTAGGCTACAAACTCTAACAAACATCCATCCATCTAAACTTTCGCATTTATAATATTAGTTAGATTATATTTGTAAACCATTCAATTCTAAATGTCACAATTAATTTGGACAATTGATAAAGGCCTTTGCTATTAGCTGACATTTACGATTACCACAGCAATCTTGCTTCTCTGACGCTATTGGCTTTTTCGTATTCATTCATCTTCTAAACTAAATAGCGTTAACATATATAGAATGTAAGTTTAAAAAAAGAGTTATTGAAAAACATGCTGCGATTGCTTATATTGTACATAAAAAAGTGTGTGTTTAGTATAGATAATTATGTGTAATTTTTTTTTTCTAGGTATACCACTTAAAATTTGTAACGATCGTAACTATGGATTTATAACTACACCGTTGGAGGATGGCCAAGCACTTTCACATGATAACGAACGGCTACTAAATATAAAAATGGAAGCTTTGAGTCAAGGCACACCTTTGCCACTTCACAAACATTTAGAGAAATATGTGACATATCCTGATACATCTAAATTCGGATGCAGTGAAGTTTTCCTAATTAACCTAGAAAGAAGACCTCAGAGACTAAAACTTATGGCAACAAGCTTTAAGGAACTCGGCATGGAAGCTAAACTGTTTCAGGCTATCGATGGAAAGTAAGTTTGATAATTACATCATACTAATATTAAAAATGTGAATGTTTGGACGGATGGATTTTGTCACTTACAATACACAGTTAACAGTGGTAGTGCCCGCTTTAACATTTAGCACTGCAGGGCCGGGACGCCCGGTGTAATACCACGACTACACAGAAGACAGGCGTCAAATGGAATCAATTCCGTGTTTCATCTGATGTGTGTGGTGCCTTTCTCTTTAGCACCCTTTTCTCATAAGGAGAGGATGGGAAGGGGAAGTGGATTTGACGGTGGAGGAGATGCATAGGAAGGGGAAATATCCTCTTTATGTGCATCTCCTCCGTCGGATAAGGGTCGGCAACGCATCTGCAATTTAGGATGTCTATGGGCAGCGGTCGCTTCGCCATTTTGACGGATTCAGGTGGCCGCCGCTTGCTCGTTTGTCACCTTATGATATAAAAAAAATATACACCTTAATAGATATTGATGAAGTTTGGCACTTATTTTATTTTTTTTTGTTTATGCTGAATGTAGTCTAGAAAATCACATATCCTACTTACTTCAAGTCCATTTTGTAATTCTATCTAATATTTCCCACTATAGACTGGCGCACAACTGCTATTACTATGAGTAATATAAGCACAGTTGTGGAAAAATATGTGTTGATTTTATTACGATTACTATTGTCATGTTCTTAGTGAAAAAGGGGTTTAAGATAATGTGACTTAAAATATACGATCATTTCTTTTTGCTTGCATTTTAAGATTTGTTACATTTTTTTTATGGTGTTTTCCTTTCAGAGAATTGGATGTATGTAATTTGAAGGAGAATTTCATCACTCTAATGCCGGACTATGAAGATCCATATCACAAAAGGTAAAAGAAACATGTTTCATAAAAAATATGTATATTAAAAATGAATTTTTAACAAACTTTTTTTAAATTTTTGGTGTTGTTTTCACAGGCCAATGAAAGCAGGTGAAGTTGGATGTTTCTTAAGTCATTACTACATTTGGGAGCAGGTAATCATAAAAATGTTGACAGGACAATTTTATAAAAATGTCTAATCACATATATTATATGCAGAAAGAAGTATTAAATTTAGTTGTTAATTATTATATGTATTTGTTTCAGATTGTGGAGGAAAACCTTGATATTTCATTAATTCTGGAAGACGATATACACTTTGTGCCCTATTTCCGTTACCGCTTCCTAGAGGTTATGGAAGAAATCAAAAAGCTTGATTGGGATCTTGTGTAAGTAACTATTACTCCAAAGTGATTAAAAAACAATTAAAAAGCATATAATATGATTACTTTCTCCAAATATTTAAACTATCTAACCGGTGATAGATGGTCATGTTAGAATTAGTTCCATCAGTAAATATGACATTTGACAATGCCACAAAAAAGCCTTGACAGCTACAGTATAACAAAGAATATGACCCTTTTTGACATTGACAGATAACAAAACAAATAACTGTCATAATTTAGTTTGACTTAGATACCGAGGCCACATCCTTGTCAGTTTGTCAGTATATAATCATGCTTCATACTAATATTATAAATGCGAAAGTTTAGATGGATGGATGGATGGATGTTTGTTAGCGTTTGCATCCTAAACAGCTGAATGGATTTCGATGAAATTTGGTATAGATGTAGAGGATAGTCTGGAAGAACACGTAGGCTACTCACTTTTGTTTTTTTAATTCCACGCGAACGAAGTCGCGGGCGAAAGCTAGTAACACATAATCCGTTTTCTCACAAGTGTAAAAATAGACAACTCTTTGAAAGATAGATGTTGTGTCTATCATGTGTTGAAGTTCTTTAGTTCATCATTATTATTTTTTTTTTCAGTTACATCGGCAGGAAAATATTGATGGATGATAAAGAAGTTTTTGTAACACCCCATATAACAAAACCACTTTATTCCTATTGGACACTCGGCTACTTGATAACTAAACGGGGTGCCCAGAAGTTGTTAGATGCGAACCCACTCGACAAGTTGTTACCAGTCGACGAATTCCTACCGATCATGTTCGATCAACACACCAAGTATGTCATTTTAAATTGAATATATTTATAATCTAGCTATTGCTCGCGACTTCGTCGCCGTTAATAAAAATATAGTCTATGTTACTCGTAGATCAATTACCTTTGTAACAGTGAAAAAAATTTTAAAATCGGCTCAATAGTCTTTGAGTTATTTCATACGAAAATACAAATATTTTAACATTAGTATAGCTACACCCTTACTTAGGGTAGGCTCTGAGTCCCTCAGTGTGGACATATAGTGTACTGGTGATGATAGATACAAGGTATTAGCGAATTTTCTCACAGATATAGAAAAGTAACTATTGTTAGCAAATGAAGTAAAAGACAGTAATATCTGGACTGGCACTTACTTGGCGTAATGAAACTAACTGGCACCAGTGTCAGTCTAACGGTTTGCGCCACCGTCAGTCCAATGGTTTGAGTCACTGTCAGTCCAATGGTTTGCGCAATTGTCAGTCCAATGCTTTGCGCCAGTGTCAGTCCAACGGTTTGCGCCACTGTCAGTCCAATGGTTTGCGCCACTACCCTCTACTGGCCAAATGTAATCCAAGTTTTTTTCTAATTGAATATACTATAAATTAAACTATCTTTTGCAGCGACACGTGGAAATCGTATTTTCCACACAGAAACCTGAAGGCATTTTCGGCATCTCCACTATTAGTTCATCCGACACATTATACAGGACAAAAAGGATATATAAGTGATACAGAGGATTCCACTATTGTCGAAGTAGTTGAGCCCGGTCGTATAAGGAATGAACTTTAAAAGTACAAACTGACATTCCAAGTTTATTAACGCATCCCAAAGAGATTGAAAAAAATATTTAGAAGAGGCTTAGTTGACACTTCACTTGAAACATTTTTCATATAATCATCACTAACGCTATCTGTTGGAAGATTTTTAAAACTACGTCAATATAATTAATTGCCATAAATATTTTTTAAATGTTTATATTTCATGTTTAGTTTATTTTTTAACAAAAGATGGCGTTTATTCTAATTTTGTAATACATGAGGTGGCATTAACTTGACAACTGGTATAGTACCTTACAGAGTACCGGGGAAAAATGTTGTTCACTATGCCACATCTGTATATTTTTTAAATATATTTGCCATATCCTTTTTCAATACAAATATGCCATTAAAATAGTCATTGACAAACTTTTTAATTAAGTAAAATATATATTCTGAGTTTAAGCTTGGAAATAAAAAAAATTAAAACATATGCAAATATGTAGAAGTTTTATATTTTTAATAATTGTATAATCTTAAGCATAATATGCCATATCATGCCAAATATATTGTTAACATTAGTTGAATATTGCCATGTTTTTTTTAATTATAGTTTTTTATTATTTTTATAAGATCTGATTATGCATTTATTATATTTTTTTTAATTTTAAGAATATATGAATAGTTTAATTTTTTAAAATTTCTATCATAATTGCCATAAAATGTTACTAGTTATTAATAATAAATGAGTATATGCAAATTGTGTTTTTTTATCTGTACCAATTACTACTTAACCATACCGATTTTATTTAATTTTATTTTATTTCAAGTTTGAGAAAAAATCAATTTATATTTTAATAATGTTTAATTTTATACCTGAGGGAAAATCTTCAAGTAAAATATTTATATCTAAAAAGGTATATAACCGTGCTATGTCCGATACAATAACATTTAATGACGTTGTTAAAAATTTGAAAGATTTGTACAAAGAACTGGATGAAGCTGTAAAAACTATTAATAGTATAGCTGATAACATACATGATAATATAGAAATATCAACCCCATGTGTTAAAGAAAGAATCGCTGTAGAAGAGTGTTATACAGATAATAAAGAAATATTAAATTGTTCTGATATAGTTAAAAGATTTATGAAATGTTCTCGTGAATTTAGCAACTGTGTACTGACTGACACTAAATAGTAGATTTTTTATTATTCGTGTTTTTTAATAAATGTCGCTTCCTAACATATCTGAACATTATTTGATTTATACAAATAAATTATAATAGAAGAAAAACAACGAATAATATTTAATATGGTTTACTTACACATAAAATTGTTAATAAGTTTATTTTAAACATTCAAATCCAGATTATTCATGTACAAAAGTTTTAACAAAAAAATCAAAGAAACAACTTTACAAGAACAAAAATGTATAATTGACAGCAAAAATTGTTGATTTATTTCGAAAATTTGTTTCTTACACAATTACAATAGATATACACATACAATTTACGACAGGAAATTCGATTAGAATTGTTAACTAAAGTTTAGTATCCGCAATCAATTGGAAGAGGAACTCTATAATGGTTCTAGTAGGCCGACCTGTCATTCCTCTTCCCAAATAAGGGAAATCTTGCCCTTTACTATATGCTACATTGTAGGTATCCAAATGTATCCATTGACTATCGCATACGAACTGTTTTAAGAATGCCGCACAGTTGGGCGAGTCGCCATATTTATGTTGAGCAGTATTCGCTACATCTGCCGAACTAGTGTCTTTTACACGGTCTTCGTAGAATTTCCAAAGCGGCATCCGCCAAATTCTATCACCCGTTTGACTACTCGCTAATTCCAGATAACAAAACAACTCTTCTGAATTAGTGTAACAACCGCATGCAGCACCATCGAGAGTATGTAATAACTCTTTCGACATCGTTCCTATGTCGATGATAAATTTGGGCCAGTAATTTCTCGCGTACACTAAAGAGTCTGCAACGAGCAACCGCCCTTCACGAGATGGTAGTCTTATGAGAATAGATTTACCGTTACCGCTGTTCACTAAGTCTCCAAATTTCGGACTCTTTCCATTTGGCATTAGTTCGCAAAGTGGTAGAATTCCCCTAATGTTAACTGGTAGTTTTAACATTGACACTGCTCTTATTATAGCGAGAACACAAGCTGCACCCGCCATATCTCCTTTCATATACTGTAAATCTTTTGGAGTTTTTAAATCTAGGCTACCACTGTCAAATGTTACACCTTTTCCTATCAATACGATAGGTCGTTGGAGTTCATTAGCACCGTAGTAGCTTATTTCAACATAAAGAGGTGGTTGGATAGAGGATCTTCCAATAGCCACAAAACCTCCCATCTCATGACTTGCTGCCCACCCTTGCGTCTTTACTTCTACGTTTATATTCAATTCACAAAGTAAATCTACTGCAATTTTAGCAAAAGAAGTCGGATTTAAATAATTAGCTGGCATTTCTTGCAAGTACCTTGCTAAATTTTGCGATTCTGCTTTTATTTGGCCAATATTCCAGCCCTCCACATCGCAGTTGTCGTGTAAAACAAACTTTGCGTTTGGTACTACGTTTTGGTTCGATATACTTTTGTATTCCCTAAACTGCCAAACAGCTAAGTTCGCACCTTCTGCTGCTGCTTCAGCGTTTCCGAAAGATTCCACGTGTATGTAGGTCGGTCGCAACGCATTCAATGCTTTGGCTCCTGTTCCTGCTGCTATTCTTATTGCTTCTTTTCTTTCATCCAATTGTTCTAAAGAGTTAAATGAGAAACACTCTGTTCCAAGTCCAGCTACAGCGACGTACGCAAATTCTGGATCTAAATCATAAAATATCCTAGTTTCGCCGAGTCTTGGTATGGGCGCTAATTTTAATTGTCTCCACAACTTTCCGTCGCAAGCTTCATTATATTTCTGGGCGCTCGGCGTAAGAATGGCAGATTCCTCTTTAACATGATCGTTGTAATATACTCCCAAAACAAGCCCTTTATCACGAATGGCACACGCTTTGGGATCTCTTAACTGCTGTATGTTAATTTTGGGTATGCAATCACTACGTTGCATTTTAAATTGTGATATAAAACGGACAAATACATTTGTCTTTCTTAAATTGAACACATTGATTCTATACATCTTTAAATTTTGTAATAGTAAATATGTCTTGTAAAAAACAGATTTTCGAAAAGTAATTATTGACTAAAACGTTGCCTACTAGTTTAGTATTTCTTTTTCCAATTTTAATGTCGCATTCGCAATTAAAAATGATTTACACTTGAATAACAATTACTATCAACTCACAATTTGTTACTCCATTCAAAGTTCACACTGCAGTCATATTTAAACACACATGTCTTTTGGAAAGGTCAAGAAGTTTTTTTCTTGAGCCACTCAGGAGCGTGCGTTCTTAACCACTCAGGAATATCAAGGAGAAAAGTTTCTTGCAGCTGTCGATAAATAATTAAAATAAGAATCGGTATTGCTAGTCTCTCATCCTTGAATAGATAAACCCAAAAAGCTAACAACAACAAACATACATCCACCGTGTAATCTATAGCTGTCCTAACATTTCTTTTAGCTCGCTCTTCAAGTTTTTGATAATCTATTGGTATAATTATTGTAGCTCTTTCAGTTTTCTTTAACACTACTTGTGTGTTTTGACTAGTTTTGATTGGAAGTTTTAAATTAGAATCCTGTTCTTTAGTTGGAATATTTTTTTCTACTTTCGGTGTGATTTTCCGAATAGTTTCAGGTTGTGCAGTAACGTGTTTTTTAACTGGCTTTTTAGTTTTTGCAACTAAAGTTGAAGCTTTACTTCTAGATTTACTTTCAAGAGATTCCTTTGATAAAGGTTTCTGTTTTTTCTCAGATTTCGAGTTTTTCTCTTCATGAACGCTGGGACTTTCTATTTCTTCTTCTTTACTGACTAACTGTTGTTTTTCAGCTACGGTCTTCAAATCATCTGTACTAAGATATAGAGGTGTCGTCGACTTTTTATGACTACCGTATTCTTTTACAATGTTACCATAATAGTCTATAACAGTTTTGCTTTCTTCAATAACTTTGTCATTGATATTTTCTAAATTGTCTTCAGTTTTATTATCAGTGTTTTGAATATTAGATCCATCCTTTTTGTCTTTTTCTTTTTTGTTCAGAATTTTAGGTAGATTGAAGGGTTTTTGCACAGGCATTTTTGTTATTCTCTTTAATAGTGTAATTTTTTCTTTTTTTCTGTTATTGTCAACTTGATTTTCTCCTACCTCAGACTTATTAACATGCACATTATTAACATTATCAGCTTCTCTTCGTTTAAGTATAGGCTTTGGAATAAAATTAGGATCTGGAAGAGGTGATAACTTCGGTCTCTCTTCTTCTAGTTCATTTTCCATATTTTCTAATTCGTGTTCTTCTGATAATTCCTTAACTGGTGACGGGCGGGTAGTTTTATTTCTTGGGTTATATGTTTCCTCTTCGACATTATATTGGAGCCTATCGATCTCTTCACTGAGGCTATCTTCATCTGAATACTCTCCATCTGTCGAAACAGTGCTTGCTGTATAATCTTCGTCAAATGACATTTGTTGCCACTTATTTTGTGATGTTTCTGAATCTTGGGACACTAGCTCTGGGGTATATTTGTACTGTTTATTTTCAATTGAATCCGTTTTAATGAAAATTTCAGGTGTCTTAAAAGTTCCTGTATTTGGTGGTACTGGTGATTTGGGTGTATGATTATTATTGATAATCTCTTGTTGATGTTCATCTGGTTTGTAAGGAATGTCATTATTTATGGTGTTGTGTCTGTGGGTTACTTCGTCGTGTTGCTTCGTCTGCTCTTCCTTCATAGCTATAGCTTTGTAGAAGCGAGCCATAGCTCTCTCGTGCAACAGTTCCGTGGAGCTTACTGCATTACGTAGTGCTTTAAATGGTAATATGTTTCGTGTACTTAACTCTGGAGCAGAAAGCGAAAGTGGCGGTGGCGAAAGTGCATCTTCCAAGTCGAGTTGAAACGATTTTCTTTTTTCTGAAATGGAATAGATTTTCTTAATTATGTTTATTTTACTAACGACTTTAAATTACGCATATTAATTGCATTCGCTTTGAACACGTCAATGTTTTGAAAATAAATAACAGTCGCAGAATTAGAAAAATTCGCATAAGCGGCACATTTTTAGTTCTTTCTGCTTTTATTGATCGTTTGATATACAACATAATCGCACCAAAATTGTTACTGGGTTAACAATGTAATTGTAATATATTTGTATATCTTAAATATTAAAACGCTAGCGTTTGTGTTGAAACTACCAGATCAACAGTGTATTTATAGACTAAAAATACGCGTGAACAACCGAACTAGTATTTCACTGTTTCGCTTTGAATCAGAAGATGTGGAACAATGAAGTTTCTATAAACAATAATTCAAGCCTTTTGCAATTATTATTGAACTGTTTTACATTTCAAAGGTAATCAGAATATGTAGATTGTATTGCTACAAAATAAAAAAATTAAAGAGATTACCTGCTTTTTCAGCTGATTTATTACTGTCGGGATACAAGACAAGCATAAACTCGTTGCTGTCATCAGGTTGTGTTCTAGGAGAAGACTGCTTCTGCTTTCGAGGTGGTGGTGGTTCATTGACAGTGGGCGACACGGCGTTGACGCGCTTACGTCGTGGCAGCGGC